TGTGTAACGGAAGTTTACCGAAAATACCGAGGTACTTGTTCGAGAATCAACTAAGTTGCCGCAATATTTACAAGAGTTTAGAATGTCTAGTGAGATTATGTGAAATAATTACAGCAGATGACGACTGAATCTACACGAATTGTTATAATAAAAAGTATAATAGAAAAAGTTACAAAATATATTTTTTTTACACAATGGGAATATAATGTTACGAAATTTTTTAATTATAATATAAATCATTTAAAACAGCTATTTTTAATAAAATCGCTAGTCATTTTTAGCTGATTTTACTGTTTCAACGTGCGCGTCTTGTTGCTGCATTCGAATGGCACTTTAAATCTTATTCGATGTTAAATACAAATGCATAAAATATTACTACCACTGTCCTAAATTCTAATTCTTTTGAAACACTGGTACACTGTAAATCTAGAAATGTCCCCTGTGCGCCCATTGGCATGCCGCGCGCAGAATTACAGTCACATTAACACACAAAGAAGATTATACGCTCGCGGCCGGCTGCGCCGTCGTCATCCATTATTCATAAAACGATGCGAAATAAAAACCGGCGCACGCACTTCATCGCGCGCGACGATGATCCGCGTGTTTTTTGTTTTTTTTCCTTTTTTTTCAAAAGCACCCGAAGAGAGCGTCATTTTAGCGAGCGCGCCGAGATAAATCACGGCACTCGATGCACCGTGCGCGCGTCCAGCCAGCGCAAGTCACCCAGCGCGCGACGTTGTAATATGCATGTACCAGCCGAGGCTGAATCCGACCTGGACACCCGGGCTCGAAATATACAACCGCGATGCAGTCGCCAGCGTGTGACGCGATACATGCAGTAAGTGTCGTATATAAATGCTGTGCAGCAGCCACCTATATCGTGCGAAATTCTTGCAGGTGTTAGAAACGGCAAAGGGGCAGAGCGGCGGGCAGGAGAGACGAAGGAGACTTCCGAAGGGGATTATGCGCATCGAATGCATCGTGACTCGCGCATTGAGAGAAACGGCGGGCAACCGCGACGCTCGACCGCGCGCGCGGCGGGCGCGTTTGACTACGAATGCTGGTGTTACGTGAATCGCGCATTGTGGCCGGAGAAAGAGGGACGGCGAGGGCGAGCGAATACGGTCCACAATGGTATTCCTGTGCTCCTCCTCGAGAAAGAGAAAGAACACGCGTGGCCGCGCCGGGATGTAAAAGGATATATTACTGCGCGTACCGCCCGCAGCGACGCTGGGCGCGGGCCTTTAACCCGAACAGATTGAACAACGCGGGAGGATATCGCGCCGTACGAAAACCACACTAATTTTCGGATGCTACCCGAGCCGCTGGTCGTTATTATGGAAGGGCCCCCCCGGGAGGGCCCGCCGCCTCACATCCGATTAAACGTCTGTGAATGCGACCGCGTGTGATTCGTTTTATCAAGCGTTTGCGGAGTACAAAAGTTTCATATGAAGTTAAATGAAGAACGCATTACAATTACCGTTTATTTGTGAAGAAATAATTTATCTCAAAGATATTTAGATCTGCATAATTTATTTCTATCTTTATATTTCAGTAGCCCATTGGCAAAAGCAGTCAAATCCACTTGAAATTTTTTTGGCGGAAAAACTTGTGTAATTTATCCCATTCAAGCAACTAATAAAATCTTTTTTAAAAAATTAAGAAAAATTTATTGATTTAGTTAACAAAATGAGGTGTGTAATATGGCATGAGAAATACAATTTCTATTTATTAAAATGGAATTCACTTAACTGGTTTTGTAGCTGAGCAAAGGATCTAGCTGGAACTTGTGTCCGCCATTTTTATTTTCACAGATGCAAAAACAGTTAAAGTCTTAGAGTAGGTTGTTAAATTGAACCTAATTTTTATCATTTTAATTTTGAAGCATTTTTATCCTAATAATATAAAAAATCTACATACTATATTACAAAACACCACGTTTAATTATTTATTGAAAATATCTTTTCTGCTTTTGTTCATCAAATTTGAATAAAAATAAAACACTAAACACGGAATGAATATAACTACGTTTGCAACAGTACAAAGTAGGGATTTAATTTCTTTTGCAACTGGACGCACTTTTTTCCCTTGATTTCATAGGATTTGTAACTGTTTTTACACAATTTTAAAACGTTCAATTTGTAACTAAGAAACTACAAAATCTAAATTTACCAATATCTAATATTTTTATACTTTTAAATACAGCTACTTTTGCATATGAGCTACTCATTTAAATCGCTGTATCAACAATTTCTTTTGAAATGTATTCATTCATTGATCAGTTGTCACATAAAATACAACTGCTCGTAACCGTCACGTGCCGTTGACATCTTCGAAAATCGAGCCGAGCCGTCTTCAACACCGGAAGACATATGAAAGCTGCACTAATTTCTCAATAATAGCCACACTGATTCATGCAAGTCCGTAGATCCGCGATGATATCGAGCCTAATCGTAACCGCCTTTGAGCGAGCATTGAGCCACGTCATTCCGTTCAAATCCGTATTCGTAAAATCACAGGTCCGATTTAAATGTGAAAGACTAACCCTTTCGAAATCCCGTTCAAGCCCAAACTACTCGTTTAACCGGCCATTCTCCCGTTTCGTTCAGTTATATTCGAGACACACAATAAGCCATTAACCCTTCGCCCTATAGATTCACTATAAGTTTTATAACATTGTCGATGGTTAAAAGAGTTTACTAGTTACGGCAGGCCATAATCGTGATTTATAATACCATGATAGCATGTTACGATTGTTTACGAAAAAAAGAAAATACAAATGTAAGCCGCAAGACTTTAATCGAGGCTGAAGGCAAAACAGAACTCGTTCCGAAATCGCTCTAATTTTCTCCGCTGGTCAAGATCTTGCACGCGACCGCAAGATTACGATTTCCGCCCATGATCGAGCGCAATCCAGCGGGAAGATTGGAGAATAATAAAGTACGTTCGACAACGCCGCGAATTCAGAAACGAAAAGGGGGACAGATAGCAGGACCGTAGGACTCACGTCGGTGAAGCAAGTCGAGCCGGAGTTATTCCGCTGAAGCGAGAGGACCCCCGGAATCCCTCGCTCTATTCTCCGCGGAGAGGAAGATTTCGTTTAAAATATTCGGGAGAGATCGAGCGAGTCGATAGCGATTGTCACGCAAAGCCCATTCTCTCGTGAGCGTCGTGACTCTAGAATCGTTCAGGTGGAAGAGACGAAAAGATGGAAGAGGATTGAAGTCTACATACGCACGTTCCGATATGCGTGGATTCGGATGGAAGTGTCTCCTAAAGACGAAAGTAAAGTCGGGCCAGATTTTTAAAATAGACAGCTGGGACAGTTCTAAAGATTACACGGGATCGCTAAGATTCGAAGGCCGTTAAAATCATGCACGATGTGTTTGACGACGAATACTCATGGAAGCGCGTTGTGAATTAAATTACCATATTTGTTTAATTATAAATTTTTAAATCGAAATCGTAAGAGAATTATAAAATTTATATTTACTAAAATATTCAATTTAATCGTCAAATCCTGAACATTGCAATGCACTAAAACGATTGGCGTAAAACTGTTGGAATAAATAATTTTAAATTGTTATAGAAATTAGTTACGTAATTAACAACATTAGGAATTAATTTTACCTGCAGGCTGTAAATATGTGTGAAAATTTACGTCTATAATAGTTGGTTCCAAAATCACCTAATAGAATAATAGCAATTTCACACTAATTTTTTTGTGTACTATGACTTAATATAATCTGCGGAAGAGAAAATGGGACGATTCAATACCTTGAATGCACGATCTTAATTTCTCAAATTTCTACCAATTACTATTTTCTTACAAATTAAACAACACAGTTATCGATTGCTTATGCTCGGAACAGGGGATTTATTCAAAATATCACGACAACCGACCCTGACGAGAAGACGCGCTCATGTACCCGCTTATTTCGCAAATCCCAACCATTGTAGTCGCTTAAATGGTCGACCAAGTGTGTCTTCCCTTCCTCCCCCTCGGATCGCGGTGACACAATGCTCGGTATCATGGAGGCCTGTTTACATAACCCGGCATCTGTCACAACTATTTGTGTTCGGAGACATAGATTCCTTCCTCAGACTCCGGACCGCGCAGCTTAAGCTGTCGTAGAGCTTTTGTCGCGCTACCGGGCTCCCGTCCCTCTCTCATCATGGTTATGCTCGAGTGCTCCGGATCAGCAAACACGCACAAGCGCGTCTTGTTCCGCGAGAGATTTCGTCGAACGTGTCCCTCGTCTAAACGCGTTTTGTATATTTTTGTTTTGAAAAAAGCCGCTCTACGCGACTAAGTCGGTGGGACGCTGCGAGGATTCCACGGGATTTGTCAAATACGAAGATAGTTCGTATATACTTTGTATGTAGGATTCTCCTATGATTGGAATGTAAGATTCGTTGATCCGTGTCGTGAAATTCTCAAGATTCTAAGATCCTTGCATTATTTTATCATGGAAATTTGCGAGGATTTGATAAATCTGCGAATTTTTGTACTCTGAAATTTTTAACGCTTTAGCTTTAAAATCGAAAATCTTTGAATACTTTGTTAATTCCTTGATATGTGAACACACTTATTGTTAGAGAGATATCTACGCGTATGTATATTGTTCTAAAATATTCAGACATATTTCAATAAAAAATATAATTATCTGCGAATCGTTTCGCGCAATCGTGCATCTCAGATCTAAAAAAATCAAACGGGGTAATCGTATCTCTTTGGATGACTAACCCGACCGGTTGAAAATCGTCGTTATTCCATGCAATCGGCGCGCTCAAAAATGAGAGAGCCGTTACCGCTCGCAGCCTATCACTATCCGTATACCTGGCTCGGCTTGATTCACGACTGGCTTTACAAAAGCAAATGGTAGACAGTGGATGGATTGCGGGTCAAATTACAGGCTCGGCAGTCTCGTAGACACACGTAAAATGCATACATATATGTATGTCGTGTATATTACGTACAAGATGGTTCAAACTCTTACCACACAGCCGTTGATAGGCAAATCCAAAGATAAACGGCAATTGTGTCTGAAAATGAAAAAATACGTGCAAATTAATCAAACTTTATCTCAACGTTGCATTAAAATTGAAGATATTTAATTCTTAAAATAGATTAAATACAAAATTGCGACAGCCAATGTCCGATAAAACTGTTAATAATAAATAATCGGCTTCAAATTTATTAAAGAAAATTGCAATTAGGGAGTTTCTTTGGCACACCCTATATATATGATGAGGTTACAATGCTGCACCTATATGCCCTTCATTATATCGTAGCACCGCGGCATTATGTCGTCGACTCGACTGTGTTGCCACAGGACAATGACGCATAACTCAAATGATAAATCTGCCGATGGCGATGTCACGCTGATGACTTATGCGAAGTCGAAGCTCCCAGCGACAAACAATGTTCGCAACGATAAATATCGATACGCGTCGCTCGGTGTCACGGCATTTGCCGGCAGTTATCCAGCATCCTTGTAATAAATAAGCGTAAGCCTGAGATAATGCTTGAAATATCGATACTGCTAATGAATTTCTGCGCCTGCGCTTTAGGCCTAACTGCTATTACATACAGCAAGAATATTTTACGCTCGACGGATCCCGAAGAAGTGATATACTATGCGTTCAATCTTCTTGTGGCTTTATTTCTCTCGAAATTATTGGAAAATTATTTGTTACGGAAAAAATATAAACGAGAAAATGTATAGTTCTATATATATATTACGTTTCGCTAATCTGTAAAGTGCAGGTTCTATGTTCGTTATATATTCTTCGGGATAAAAATATGTGAAGTGAAAACGGGCGTAAAATAAAATAAAGGATATGATACAAAGAAATGGTTCTATATTTTACATACCACTACGGTATAGATAAGCGTAAAAGAACTATTACGAGAAGTTACTGCAAATATCGGAGCAACGTTGCTCCGCGAAATCCCGAGTACATCATTCGAGAAGTTCGCAAAACTCAGCGCGGCTGCATAAATGTACAATCATCGGCTTCTAGCTGGCGTCCCGTCGACCGATAAAACATTTCGATTTTTCCCGCGGAGATACGATACGCGTATTTTCAACGATTGAGCGCGCATGCAACGTCGATCCGCGGGTGCATATAACTTCAGCGGAAAACGCATAACTTCCGGTAAGTTTGCTCGCCGGCAATACGCCGGACGTACGGTTCCGCGGCTCCGCGTAAACATGAGTTAGTCCGCCATCGAAGTGGCTGCATTAGCGTTTCCGCATCGCTCGCGTAAATATTCCTCCCTGCGCGCCATTTACATTTTTCGCTTTTTTTTTCCTCTCCTTCTGAAAAGCGCTCGCTGCCTGCGCAGAAAATTCGCGCCGCGTCGATAAAAACTGAATGGAAACAAGTACTTTCGCTTCGCACAAAAACATTCATACGAATTTATGGAGCGAAGAATGCAGGAGAGCGAGAAATGAAGTATTCTCGGACAGAGAAGTAATGTCACCATCGAAAGTACACTTCATCGCAAGATTTTCGGGCTAAAATCATCTCGATAAACGAAGTTCTGAGAAGCGAACTCGCGCCATGCTCCATCAAGTCTGCCGAGTTGCGAGGATGACGTCGCATTTCCTTCATTTTTCCCGTGCCCGGACTATACGCGAGACTTCCCGCCGCTCGCAAATGGAGGAGGACGGGCCGCACGAAACTCGAGACTCCGTTAATGGAAAGGCAAAGTAAGCCCGCCGTCGTACTTGCCAGCGACTTGGGTCGAAACTGAGCTAACTCAGCCGCGGTCGAAATTATCGCGAGTCTCTTCCGGCGGCCGGCGTCTCCTCCGTCCGCTTTTCCGCGCTTATTGCGGCCGCCCTTGCGTATTTCATGCGGTAACGCGCTACTCCATACTCCCGCGACGAGCGCGACGGGGGCACTCGAAAACGCGAATAATACCCGCTCGCATCTGGCAACTTCGTACTTCATCGTGTCGATGTTGTAACTTCGACGCCTGTTTCCCGCCGCTTTTCAACTTCACTTAATTGCACGAGAACAATGCGATATTGTTTGAGTCTACAAAAAGTGTTAATTATTTTTTTCCGACAGGAAAGAACATAATTTCCAGGGAAAGTGCGATAAATATTATTATTGAAACTTTGCGAGTAAGAAATTTCTATATTTTTTAACATACATAAGTTTCAAAAATTCCGTCAATTCCGGAATGTGTGGATTTACGCACTCATAAATCCGTAAAGCCGCAGTAATTAAAATACCCATGCTTTATATTCATCCTTGTCGGTTTTTTTCTCATCTCTTTTCAGTTATTCCTTAGTTAGAATTTTTCTCGTACGCGCGTACATTCGTTCCTCGGTTTTTCCAGTAATATTTCGCGCGCCTATTACTCCCGGAGGCCAGGAATGCCCGCCGTACCGCAACGCAAAAACGGTACCGCTGTATCCTCACGGGCCACGTAAATATTAATATCAAAGAGATAACACGCCCGCACGTAACTTATCGCGTCGAATGATAAGCTGATCTAATAAAAAAGATGCTATTGTTTCCACACGAGATCTCACATTTAAAGAAATTACAACGGCGTCAAGGGTCTCTTAATTAGTTGGTATTTTTCCAGACTTTTTAATACAATTTAGTTTTTTTCATATTATTCTGAACACGCTTGAAAGTTAAATAAGATTGGATTCATATTTTTTGCGTTACTACGTAACATCCATTTTATTCATTTTACATGTTTCATTTAATTACGAGAGAGAACAAATGGGTTTTAATTTCTTCAAAAACTTTGCTTTTCAAAGTTTTTAAGTACGCAGTTATGAATATCTTTTGACGGAAAATCGGAAGAGTTCGCGCGACTCTGTACAGAGACGATCAAAATGGCATTTCACGAGCGAAGAAAATATAAATCCTCCCGCGCGTCTTCGAAAGGGGAGGATGTATCACCGAGGTTCGGGAAGCTCGAGACATCTTGAATATTACCACTAAATCTCAAGGCTCGTAATGCAGACGTTTTGAAATAGTTTCCAGACTGTCCCGTTATACATAACGCTCCCCGCCGACGGCAAAAAGCGGCCGATCGCCGCCGTAAAATACCGCGTCTACCGTGTTGCGGATCGTGGCAGGCCGATATTTATGAAATGAGCGTTTCGTGTAATGAGAATCGCGTTTGCTAATCCAATATCGTTGTTTCCGTACCTATCCGCGCATTCGTATGGAAATTTTATATCCCGAAACATGTTCGCTTCACTGCCGCTGACGTTTTAATTTGCATTCCAAATGCGGCGATTAAGATAATACGAGAGTTTGACGATTCTGCGTGTGAAATTTGTTATATATGTTATATCCGTAATCAGCTGTCGAAAAAATAAAAGACAGATTCGATTGTACTTTACACCGGCGAGTGCAAGTTACGCCGTGCTCTCGTATGACACAAACATTTCTTTTTCCGCTCAGCTATCCAAGAACGTTAAATCCCATCCGCAATTTCTTCCCCTCCGCGTGTTTTCCCAGACAGAATTATGAGCTCACGGTACACCACGACTGCACCTTTGACGCCGCCGGAAAGATGTTCGTGTAGCGATATATCCGCGTTGCTGCCGCCTTGCGTCGAGGCGAGCCGTTGAATTAGCCGAGACGTCGGAAATCGGCGTCGGAACGTTTCTTCGTTTTTTTTCAACAGCTTGTCCTGCGGGACGCTTCCTGTTTCTCGGATAATTCGTTGCTTACACGGCGCGGCGGTCGTCGCGACGACAGCGGCGACGACGACGGGAAAATAATTCAATCCCGCGTGTCTCGCGGAGTATACGAGGGTCAAAGGGTGGCCCGCAGCGTGCATCCTGTGTCCGACATCCCTCGGGGTGAATCTCACTAATTCAGTTGCCCACCGTGACGAAAAAAAATTATTCATTCGGTATAATAATTTTACCGCAAATGCTACATCTCGCGTATTTGTGCAGCTTAGAAGAGATCGCGTGCAATTGTCCTACGTGTTTCAATTATTCATAAAGAAAATATGTCAAGCTAATCGAGTAACAAAGGGTACAAAAGCATACAAAATTTGAATGAAGCCAATTACAATTATTTGTCTATAAAATAAGAAATCTGGAAGAAAAATCAAAGAATGTTCATTAAAATTTCTCTGTGATAAATTAAGAAAATACATCTTTATACAATTTAAACGTACTAATAAAAAAATTCAGAACTTTGTAACATTCTCGAACAGAATTCGATGATTTCGCACGATCAAGATGCGCGAAACAGATGGCCGAACTTGAAGGCGCATAAATATTCTTCTCGTAAATTCAAGGTGCCAATAAAGACGTTGGAAACGTAGCGTGATCGCAAGCCAAGGTAGTTCGTGATGAGAGGGAGACCTCATGAAACATGCGCGTGTACTTTTTTCGTTCATTGTATATACGCGGCGAGTCGTGCTCCGCCTCTCGTTCCTGCCCGTCTCGTCCGGGAAGAACTCGAGCCCTTTAACGCCCGCGGCGAACCTTCCGTCGTCGTGTACCTACATAATTTATGAGGATCAAAAAACGCGAAAAAGTTAATCAGCCGACCACACCATCGCCCGCCGCCTCAACGTCTTCCAGCTTCCAGTCTCGTCTACACCTGCTCCTTGCCACGTTCGCCGTTCCCACCCTCCGTCCCTCCAGCCGCGACTCCGCCTCGTCATCCTTTTGCGAGAGTTCGCCTTCGGCCCTTTCGCCCGGGTCCTTCTCGTTCCTTGCGAGCTTTGTCCCGGCTCTTCCCTCAAGTTCACATTAATTTCTACCTCGTTTGTGACGTCCGCAACCGCGATATTCTCTCTCTTCTCACATTTTTTTTCCCTTCTCTTTTCCTCCACCGTTCGTCCTGTTGCGACTTTATAATATCCTGGCAGGAGGTTTGCATAAATCCAGACTGTTGTCTTATCCATCGTCTCACCTTCAATTTCTCTTCCGACGTAAACGCCTTTTAATATGTTTATTCGTCTCAATGATCTCTGCGTTCCTTTACACCGTAAATTATGCGCTTCTGTCGCTTATTGTTTATTAGAAGAAAAAAAATGA